AAAAAAAATGAATTAATGCAAAGTCTCTATAACAATAAAGTAATAATAAATACATACATACATATCAACTGCAATACATACCTACCTAAACATGGCTGAATAAAAACGAACAAAGCAACAACCACATTGACATAGTGAATATAACAATAGCAAAGATAATATTGATATAGCCGGTGAATAATCATAAAGTGTAGAGTTGTTGGCGCAGCATGTCATATGCCGCATGCAACATGCAACGGAGTGAAATGTAAAGATGGAACCTTTTCAGTTAATGCCTGAGATAAGGTAAAAAAAAGGAGCGAGGAGTGGCAAAACAATTAAACTGCAATTTTGTTGATTGAAGTGGTGGCGATGTTCAAGGTTGGTGTAGCAAGAAGAAGAGCAGTCAAAAATGATGCGAAAATTACAAAGCAATTGCTCACTTGGCTTTGCTGTTTAACAAAAAAAACTGGTTGCATATTGGCCAAAAGCCTGCTTAAGGCTATCAACAGAGGCTGAGCTGTAGAAATTCGCACACTTGACATCTGAGCAGCCAAGAATTCGGTCACAAGTGTCAATATCGAAATGTAAAAAAAAAAAAAAAAACGTTTCTGACCATTTTCAGCGCCGGGTGCAATAAATTCTTCATCTTCATCAATTTTATCAGAGCGCGCAGCGATGGAGCTAAGTTCTGGACGAACAATGTAAAGGCTGAAACGCCAGCGCAGCAAAGGCGGAAGATACACCAACAATCCTACGTATATAAGCACCATCCAGCAACAAACGAACCCGTGGTCAGTTAATCCCGCCACACACCTTCGCGGTGAAGCGAGCGCGCGCTTAAATGCGGGCGTACGCGTTCGAGCAACAAATTCCCAAGTCGATGCAATAAAAATGCAACTCGCATGTGACAACGATTTGTACTTTGGCTCCTTTTATGGCAGCCAACATTGCGCGCGCCCGCATAACATATACACGCACACGCATAATGCTAAAGCCGGTAGAGTCCATCAGTAGCGGCCGCCGCACGTTCGCTTGTATCCTTTCTTGTTGACCAAGTGCTTCGCGGCAATGCGTGCGGCCGTTGGTAAGCTTTTCTGCAACGTACACTTATATGAACCACTCTGTTGCTTTTGTTGCTGTTGCCTGCAACAAAGCGGCATGTGCAAGCCATCACTTTGTGAAGCCTTGCGTACAATCCCATTCGTTTACAGCAGCTATGTAGGCCCTCTTAGTTGTTTGGTCAGTTTGGCTATAAAGCCGCATCCATCTCTGCATTTCGTTTTGGTCACGAAGCCTTCTTCTTCCCATTTCTTTCTCTTAACTTTTGATTTTTTACACACAATTTTTTGCTACCCATCCATTGTTGATATTATTTTTATTGCGGAAAATTGCGCTTTAAGTCGGCGTAGAGGCAATGCGGCAGCCCAGCTTCGTCGTCGTGTTTTGCTCTAAACATAGCAAATCTGTTGGATTTCATAGTGGATACATATTTTTTTATACTGCCTTTGTATAGGCAATATATTTTATTGTTGCTGTTGTTGGCGGCGACATATTTGCTCTGCCCATTTTAGGTAAAACGTAGATATAATTTATGTCGATTTGTTTGCGATTTTATTAGCTCCACATATTTATAAATGTATGTACAGATTTATATATTGTGTAAGCTGGTCCTGCGCGTGAAATTTTTAAGAACATTACTGAATTTAGAAAATATTTGCAGTGAATTAACTAATCTTCAAAGTTTTTCTTAATGAATAATTTTTCGCGAATAAATATAAAGATTAAAAATATTTGTGTCTTCCTTTATTGCACTTTCAACACTTCTTGTATTGTATGCCGGACAATGTCGATGAGATGGAATGTTGGTTGTAACATCTGGAGAAATCATTGAAGCCTCCAACAGGCAGAACGCTTCTCAATTTGGAAGGCTTAGTCAACATAGCGTCGAACTAGCTGCAAAAGCTAGTAATGTAACCTAAACCAACTAGGCTACTGAAACGCATCCTCAAAGGGCAAAACGATGCTAAAGCTATAATCGTCTCTTTAACGGATTGACGACACAAGATAGGGGACTGAATAGCAGCGGAGTTTGTTACCGATATCAAGATCCCTAAGAGAACATTAAATAACGTTACTATCCGATGTTCGAGTTGGATTAAAAAACAATGATGGAGATTTGTACGGTTTAGAGGTCAACTAAAGGCTGAAGGGTGTCTGTCTCGAAGTAAGCTGCTCGCTCAATATGCAAATGGTAATCTATAAACACTTCCTCTGTAATAGGGTTATTCATCGGGATTGGCAATGAGAAAACCAATAGTTGAAATTACCACTACAAATGTTGACGCCCTTAGAAAATGCAATAAAAACTAGGTTTTACGTATATGAGCTTCGAATGTCCATACCTTTCATAGAGAAAGTGCGTGTTTTACAAACAAAGAATGCTGGAATAACATCGGTACATTAAATGAGTTAACAAGGTATGTCTTTAAGAAGTATAATGGTTGTGCAAAAGCTCTAAAACCTTACTCACAGATTTGCTTTATCAATGCCGAAATATCATAATCAACAAAAACATAAATTATATAAGGTGACCCTTAAACTATATGGACATCTAGAAAAAGCTACAATGCAGGACAAGGAATAGCTAAAAAATCTCTTCTTGGACTCTCAGGTTGCCTATTGATCAAACGTGATCAGGAAAAATAAAGCTTAATTTTAGTGGCTGTTCTTGCGAATACTCTGTTCTTAAGTCTAGACCAGTCGGTGTATAAAGAAGTTGAGTCTGAGTTAAAAAGTAGGTTTATTCTTTCCTCCCATTAGTTCCTCAAGGGAATCCGAGTAAATTTAAATTAGCAAGGCGATTTTATTCCCAGATCTAAACCACGTAAACTTAGATGGTATAACGAATACTTCCATACTGTTAGAAACCGTGGTTAGAAACGAATATTTCGACGAGAGCGGCAATCAAACATTAGCAGGAGAAGATGAAGGAGGAGTGGCACGCTTCCAAGAAAATAAAAAAATGAATAGTCAGACATATGTATAAGCGAAGAGCTTGAGTGGCTCACATAAATGCGGCGAAAAAATTTTCGTCATCACAAGAAAAAGACAGTATTCAAATCATTTCAAAGAAAAAGTGCAGAGAAGATAATTGAAATCTAACAAATATCCAGAGTACTCTTCTCTACGACTCGGAATGCAAGGTGCTAGTAAAGAAACCACAAAGAGAAGAGAGCAAAGGTGGCGCCCATCTCGGTACCGCTCTCACTGAATTTGACAGAAGCGCTGTTTGTATGACGTCACACTTTTGAAACTTGTTTACGTTTTGCTTGCAACATTTCTTCTTCTTCCTCCGTTCATGCTCGCTTTTTGGCATTTCTTTCACGCAAATGCATCAGTGTGATGTCACATAAAAATTATTCCCAAAAATTCTCTCCGATAAGCGCAATTTTGTGAAGATACCATCGAATTCACTTAAATAAGCGTGTCTTCAAACATGGAGAATTTTTTTGAGAGCACGAAGTGGAGGTACCTCTACAATACCACGTCCAAACCAAATTGGAGAGCTAAGCTCTCTCTACAAAAATCAGCTTTTACCAATCTGATGTATCTTAGAACGAACTCTCGTCATACTTACCATGTTGGTTTCGCAGTTTGGCCATATTCAGTAAAATTTTTTCATTCTATAGTCTCCCATCTCCCGCGTCTTCTTTATATCACGAAGATAGGTAAATGACAATATTTTTTAAGTGCTTCAAATAAGGAATATTTATAAATCCAAACACACTATACTAAAAACAATATACAGATATTTCCTACCTCATTCATAACTGTTGAATAATGCAACTGCGCATAGATATTTTGCAATAAAACTACTATATTTGACTGAAAAATACCTTACCTACCATGTATAAGCAAATGTTGTCAATAAGCCACCAGAGCTTATAGCACATTTACCATTACCGATGCGCTGTCATCCATTCCACTTGAACGACTACAACATGTCGAATCCATCTGCCATCCATCAAAAAAGTCATATGGATTTATGTGAAAAGTCATGTGCATTTATATTTATGATTGCTCACACAAGTATGGATGTATGTATGTAAGGTTGTAAGGATGCCACAAACCCACAACAGCGGCAACAGGAACAGCGCCCGCCCCAGCACCATATCCACTGGTCGAGCTGATGAAAAATTCAAAAGTCTTAAAACAAACGAATTTGCATTTCAGATGCGAACAAGCAGCCAACGAACCAAGGCGCACAGATTTTTTTTTGTTTGGTCTTAACTTCTACAATTTCATTTATTTTTATTTTTATTTTTTTTTTCTACCTCTTTGTCTGACTTTTATTTGATTGTCATATGCGGGTTTGTATGTATGTATGTTTGCTTATTTGTACGACTGGGTTATTCAGTTAGCCTGTTGCACACACGAATGCAACATGTGCAACAGCAGCAATCCGACAAGAACCACAGTAACATTGTGTACGGGAGCCGGTAACGCAACAACAATTGTTGTTCGTTCCAATCCTGTGCGAGTTTCTTCCATTGAATTTATAATAAAATCATCGCATTGACGTTTGTGTCCATCTATGGCAACACAGGTCGACCGCTGCCACAGTGGCTGTTGCAAGTGATGCATGGAATAATGCTGCTCTGTTGTTGTTGTTGTTGTGGCTGCTGTCGCTGCTAGCGGTGTGTTTTGAGTTGGTCTGTCAGCAGGTAACCGTAAAACAAAAATTTCTGTCTGACAACTAGCAACCATTTTTTAATACTAACGCTTTTTACTGGTCCCCCTTTAGCATTTTTCGGGGTTTTTTTTTGGACCTATAAATTACAGTTGCGATGAAAAAATGGTTAAATAAACTATTGGGTATTATTACTGGAATTCTTCTGCAGATAAACAGAGTTTTCCGATAGAAAAATATTGATTTTTAAGAATTCTATATAATTTCCAAGAAAAGTTGTTCTTTCCCCATATAAAATACACTGAAAACTTTGGACGCTTTGAGCGACCTCTAAATATTTTTTGATTTCAAAATAAAAAATAGGGGTATATTTTTTTCGGTATCGAACAATCTTAAGAGGTAAGAGCATACAAATTCCGACTTTACTTTTTCACATGCCTTTTTGGACCACCCTAATGTACATACAAACTTTGAAATACAATGCGGTTATTTGTGCATATATGTGTGCACGAATGTATCTGTACACTTGGGTGCCGTTATTATAGCTGTCAGTTTGTCTCTGCATTATTCGAAATTGTCGTCGATACTTTACGGTATTTAGTTGTAAGTATTTTGTCATTTCCTTTTATGTGATTTGCTTGAATTTCTCCAAGGAAGTGAAATTAAATGGAATAACAGCCAACCAACTAAATGTACATACAAACATATGTGCATGTATGCATGTGTATGCATTTATAAATAGAAAATATTAAAATATGTAAATGGTAATAAATATAAATAATAGAACTCACTTAAAATATTCAAATAATTTAATTTATCAAGAACAAAGAACTTCGCCATTGTCTTTCTCCTTTGCAAACTCGCGACAGCTGCTCATCCACTTCCATTGCACTTACTTACACGGTCCATTGGGTGCTGAGTCGACGGATATTTTCGTCAGTGCATCATCATCCATGCATACAAAATGCCCAAGCCAGTGCATTTTTATGCCTTTAACTATGTCCATGTCGGTGAATAGCTTGTAACCTTCGTGATTCAATCTTCTTCGAAACATGTCCTCCACGCGAACTGTAGATCTTACGTAGAACAGTCCTCTCGAAAGCACCCAAAGCCTTCCCATATTTATTCGATATCGTCCATGTTTTTGCGCCATATTAAAGGACCGATATGAAAAGAGATTTGTAGAGACGGTTCTGCTTTAAACGGCCTACCATTTCCCAATGTAACAACTTTTTGCAAGAGTTGGTAGCATTTATACTGGACCATAGGTAGACAAAGTCCTTCACTACTTCGTAGTTATAACTGCTACATGCTCTTCCAGGGGCTTTGTTATTTTTCGTCTTAGTCGAGTGCAGGAATGTGAGCGTCTGGGTTATCTTCATCAATCACTCTGCCGATTCCGCCAATAAAAAGCGTTGAGAAGTGTTGCCTCTACATCTCAACCAACCAGGAACCAGCTCTGGTCTGCCTCTGGTTTCTTCCTTTTGTGTGAACGTATCCCCCAGTATGGCTCAACTATCACTCAATAATATCAGCCTGCACTTGTGTGCAGGCCCCGACAGCAGAAAAGGATGATGGGTCAAAGGTGTAGTCCTACGAGCGCCTAGAGGAAGCATATTCTGACAATGGGAAATTAGTAACACCAGACACCAGTATCGAAACTTCTTCAATGCCACTTCGACGTCCTTTGATCAAATAGCAAAAACCCAATTTTTTCACATTTTACTACACGCTATGAGCATTCATGAAATGTGTTCCACCCGAGAAGCCAACATAGACTCGCAGTTCGGCGCTGAGAAATAATAAATAATTTCGCATCGACTTTCAACTCTGATTAAACAAGAAGCTCCTCATTGCCCGGATACAAACGAGCTGTAGGATTCCATCTTCCAATCTCTTACTACTGCTGTGGTTGGAGGAACCACTGGTCTGATGAAGACTACGCGTCGCTCCTTCGCGAAAGTGAGTGAAGCCAACTTATAATATGATTAGTCTTCCTAACATTGCTTATGAAGTGTTATCAACGATAGTGTGTGAAATACTGAAGCCCAGAAAGACCCAGCAGCTTCGGTTTTGTCAGGGTGACTTCAGATTTGGTAAGTCCACCATTGATGTAATTTTTACAGCGAATAAAAGTCTGGAAAAGATGAAAGATAAGCAAATCGATAAACACCAACATTTCGTCAAGATCACTTCTAATATCACGGACAGAAACTGCCTCTACTAAGGCATGCCCTGTTTTGGGATCACCGTTTAACTAGTACGGCTTTAGCTCTGACTGGATCGGAAAATATCTCTCCGAGCTGTTCGAAACGTATTGAATTTGAGCAAGGATGTGGTGGTCTCCCTGAAATTGCCTTCGTCCGACGCTGAGTTCGATAAATCGATGCAAGACCGGAATTGCACATTGCCTCACCAACGACTGTCGCGCTATGACCCTGGGGATCGTCAGTACTCCTGCGAGCACCAACATTTTTCGCCGATGAGTCATTTGTTCAGACTGTAGTGAGGATATCTACAGGTTTCCTTCGCTTACATCGTTCACCAGATTATTTAGATTTACGAAGGTGTAACCTCCCAATACCTATGGATCGTTTACAGCGAGCTGCTTGCCGAGGCACAACGTTTACAAACGAATGGTGCTCATCGAACTATAAAGATGAGTTGATTGGTACTGTGCACCTCACCACTCTCCCTCGTGATGCGCTCCTGGTCATTGCCACAGGAGACTTTAATGATGGTTGCGGTCGTGCCCCTGCCGCATGTATGGGTATCGCCTGGAGTATTAGACGAGCTCGAGCTCGAACATTTAAACGAATATATATTCCGATTCTCATTCAGAGTAACCAAACGCTTAATTCCCTTGAAAACTTTTGCTTCACGCTTGCATTTTATCATTGCGCTCCTAAATTCCACTTAATCCTTTAGCGCGCACGCAACCAACTCATAGAGCTTAAACTGTTGCAACGGACTCAACAAATTGTCAATGCACTTGAATATTCACTAAACACTGAATGCAAGAATTTTCAATTTCTCCTTTTTCAGCAAATCGGTTTTTTTTTTGTTGTGCTCATTTTTTCTCACATTCCCCAATGTGCGGCTTTGGCTTTGCGGTTCATAGCAGCGTCGTCACATTGATGCGCGTTCGCCGTAGCATTGACATTGGACATTGCAACACGCCACATGGAGTGTATCATATTTACGAGTGCGCTATGTGTGTGTGTGGAGGATGGTTTCCTTTTTCGTACTTGTGTCTTGGCAACTCTTTGGCTATTGTCGTGCGCGAACTACGCTGCTGACGATGCAGCAACATCGCCTGACTGACTGTCTAAATGTCTAAATGACACTTTGAAGCCAACATTCGCCTGCCGATTCAATACAATTCCTTTTGCAGCAACATTAAAGTCATCTCTGTGTGCGCGGGTTTTATTGTTGCTTCCGTTTTGCTGTGGCTCCACTTGGCTGATGCATCAGTCTCAGTTGGTGATACATTGCTCTCAAGTGGCGTATCGTTGTGCGGTTGAATTCTGCACCGACTGCTAGCAATGTGGCATGACGACGGTTGCGCCACGAACCAACTATTCTGAGCTGTGTCTGCTTAAAAGTCGGACGCCTTGCTGCTTCTCTGGTTACGGACGATTGTAATACCACTATGACGAACTGCGAGAATCCCTTTATATTTGAAGATATGTGTTAGCGTGGGTATGTATGTTTGCGTTGCATAGTAGTAAATCATCTTAAATCAATGTCAAATCGATATTATTCGGTTGCACTTCTGTGTTGTGGGAATTCTTCTTGCGCGTTGACGTTCATCAGGAATTGTCAACCAACAGCAGCAACAACAATAATAATAACAACAAAATGACACAGTCGAATAGAGTACTGAGTGTATTCGCATTGTTGGTTGCAAGTGGATACTCAGAAGTATTGTACTTGGAACTAAACGATTTTCATTGCTTCTTCAAGAAATGCCTGCCCCACAAGTGGGTGTGTGTGTGTGTGTATGGGAGTTTGTTGCAATTTTATTTTTACTTGCAATAGTCTGTTTGCTCTTGAACTTGACGTAGTCACATGCCACCACATAAATCGCTCACTTGTGCGAAAATAAGCGGAAAGTTGGATACGAAAGTCAAGGCAACCAACAGAGCATCCTTTGGTTTCGATCATGGAAAAGTACGCAGCGGCACTGATAGATAAATTCTAAAGGGAAATGTGAATTTAAAGCGATTTAAATTATTACAATATTTAAGTCATACTATCAGTAAATACTATCGGTAAGGCCATAAGCATTCGATCTGAATTAGAGATGGGAGCGGGACTAAATATTTAATCCCGATCCCGCCCATCCCGAGATTCAATTTTTAAGTCTCGAACCCGCCCATCCCGACATTTTTCAGAATTGTAGCGCGGGTCCCGTGGGTCCCGATATCTATATATAAAACAGGCTATAAACGGACAACAAATTGAAATAATCGGTCGAGATTTCAACGCGGCGTGGCGTGGTTTGCAACCGGATCGAAGGTTGACAAAAATGTGCATTTGAAAGACATTTTATATAATAAAAATAATAATAAAAGATATGGGATCTTCCGACTGTTTTGTTTTGCTTTGCTGTTTGTTTTCGTCTCAATAAAACATTTTAAGTGAATATTTCTTCTTCTTCTTTTTTGGCGCTGTAACCGCCTAAGCGATTTTGGCCGAGTTCAGCAAAGCACGCCAGTCGTTTCTCCTCTGTGCCAACTGACGCCAATTGGAAACGCCAAGTGAAGCCAAGTCCTTCTCCACCTGATCTTT